AAGGTGCAGAGTTACACGGCCCGAGCGGTTATATATTATCAAATAAGCCTCTCTGAAGGCATTAATTCACCAGAAATGCTCTCTGTGGTTGGATCCTGTTATTAAACCATGAGCCTTTCTAAAGCGAGACAGTCAATCCTGAAAATTGATTGCTAAAGCTGAGCTGCAAGGTGTCCAGCAGAATAATTAGGAAGCTCCTGATGGTTCTTAATGAGCTGTTTACCTTCAAGACAAGACATAATGCTCTGAGCATGCTCAGTGGCACTTCTCACCATTTATCTCCTCAGAGTGAGAGGTCACACTTCATCCTGCGGCAACTCTGGTTAAAAATTTAAATCTACAACATTTCATGGTTTTTATTCAGTTGATTAGATATGTGGATTTGTTTTGGTGAAAATTACTATAAAAGATCAGGGCAACGCCTACATTATGGGGCTAAAATGGTGAAGATAAATGTGAAAAAGTCAGGCTTTAGCAGGTTTGTTTTAAATTTGCATCAAGCTTTACAACGAAAAGTTTTGGTGTTTAGATTTACAACAAGCCCATAAAATATAAATCACGAAGAAAAATGTTTTCAACTGAAATATGTCAGCAGATTTGTTTTCTGACGTATTCATTTTACTTAATTTGAGTGAATATGTTAACTTTTTCAACCTTATAGGCAACTTTAACCACATGCAGCACAATTACTAGCACATTTGATTTTAATGGTTTTTGCACATTTTTCCATAAATTTGTATAGAAACTGTGAAATAGAATAAATTTTTAAGAGTTGTTTAGCGAAATGGGGGTCTGCGTTACATCCAGAATACCAAAAAAATTGTTCCTATAGAGTAGCACTACTTCAGAATATTTTAGGTATCTGGTAAAAAGCTTCTCAGTTACTGAGTAAATGATTTAAACATCAATCATTTAATATTTTAAAAAATTACATCAGCAGACAGACCAAAATAAAGTTGGATATGTGAAAATTTTGACATTTTAAAGACCTTTAAAGCTCTTGAACCGTTTCAAAACCTTTCTGAATGTAACATCACAAATCAGCAGACACTGCCTGTCTCCTAGCAAAAACAGCCAGGCCCAACCCGTTACCTAGCAACACAAACTGAATTCCAGCATGTTTGGTCAGCTGTATACACTGTACAATGGCTGCTGGAAGAGCCAAGTGTTTTGTTGTTGACCTACCACACAGGAACCACTTGTTGCATTTTTGTTGGATGTGCATGAGGCTCCACTTGTGCTTTTCATAGCTGTATGGTTGTATAATAGTGCATTTGTTTTCAGCTGTTTCTACGTGCTGACATAAATGTTGAGTTGGGCGGCGTGGCCGGCAGCAGTTTATTTGGATTTAAAGTGACTAAAGTCTCATTATCTGAGAATGATTTTGTGTAAAAAGTGTAATGAACATGTTTTGGATGATTTACCAGTTCAAGGAAGCTCAGGAGGTCACCGTTAATACTGTCCCCGTCTCGTTCATATCACAAGACTGCAGGAATTCGGTGGGCTGCAGCCTCTCCTGTAACTGGAAACTCTGAGAATTAATCTAATCTGCTCAGCGTGGAAATCATGTGAGTGACGTTCAACCGCGGCGGCGCCTTGAGCTAAAATTAAATCAGTCATCGTCGCATTGTCTGATAGAGTCTGTTTGATTTTTAATAAACCTCCGCCGTGATGGAGCGGCTGAGGATGCTGCAGTTAGATGTCCACTTTCTCTCCTGCTGGATGTCTGCTGCATCGCAGACAGATAAAGCTGTCTGATCCATAACAGCTGAGCAATCAGGAAATTATAGTTCCTCAAACCCCTGGAGCCGAACTGAAAGGTTCTGTTTTAATCCAACCTCATAAAGAGTTAAAGATCCTGACAGTAAAAAAAAAAACAAAACAAAACCTAACATTATCTGCTCATGAGATGATTAAATGTGTGTGAGCAGCTGAGTGCTTGGCGGCTCCAGTTTGAACCCACGTGACCTCTGAGTGACCCCGGAGACGCAGGGCAGCGTGTGACGAGGTCGCGCCCTTTTATTGACGCCATCATAACTCTTTCCACCCTGAACCCGCCTCCTTTTGTCGCTATTGATTCCAGACACAAAGAGGAAGATTTTTTTTCCTCCTACAGAATGAAACCCTCTAAATGTGTGTTTGTCTGTTTTCACCGTTGGAAGTTTTTAGAAATCATGTTGAACATTCGGCTCAGTGTTTTGTTTAATTAAATTTATCAGACTGCTGGGATATTTTTATAAAACTTAATTTCTGACATCTGAGCGCAATAAAAATGGCAGCATGACAACTTTTATCTGTCATGTGGCTACGACTCTGGAGCTTTTCCTTTGTCTCAACCGCACCGATTGAAATGTTTGTGTACATTGATATCGTCTATGTGGTTTGAAGGATTAAAACTGTGCAAAAGTCTTGAGTAATGCACAGTTATTGAGCTACATCAATATTTCTTCTTGGCACTCCAAGTAAAAAAGCTCTAAAGTTGATGATGATTAGATCATTAACCAACTTTTGCACTATATTCTGTGTTGGGCAAAGCTCAAAATATCCACTGAACTTTTTCACATTTTGCCACATTTACATCCACAAACTTCATAATATTTAAATTTAGATTTTATACAATGAATCAAACCAATGTAAGTAGTTTTAAAGTGTGACTTTCAGATTTGTTGTTTTATAACCTAAACCTGAGTTTCTGCTCTTTCCTTGGTTTTCTCTCTAATTTTGTCCAACAAAACTACTAAATTATACAGGTGGGTTGTTTACACTTCTAAAGGTAATTGATTGCTCTTCATTTAATTAGAGGTATCAGAGTGAAATAGACTGAAAACAGATATTTGAAACATTGTTTTTCTTCCAGTCAACGACTATTTGAGTCTTATTTTTGAAAATCTCAGTAAAATGCATTAAACTCCATGGTGTAATATGATAGAAAGTGTTGAAGTCTCTGGTTTCGCAGTTAATGGTGGCAGGTTTTTGGCTGTAATTTGTTTCTGTCTGGTCCACAGCCGATCCTGAACCAGGCCGGTCTGCCTCAGGGCCCCTCGGACCAGAAGGTCGTCGTGGTGACGGTGGACGACTGTGACTCCTCTGTGGCGCTGAGATTCGGTCACATGATTGGAAATTACTCGTGCTCGGCCCAAGGAAGCCAGTCTGGATCCAAAAAGTGAGGGACTGAGTAATACAGCTTGTAAATAATGATGTTTTTAAACCAAATTCAATTTTAATTGACTTTTTTTTTCTTCTAAAGAAAAAAAGACAAAATATTTTTCAAAAGTGGTTTTTATTTCAGTCATCCCTTCTGTGAGTTTTAGTTGTAGGATTTCTCTGTTCTGCTAAGAGGATTTTTGTTTAATTACAAGAATATAGTTGAAAAAATATACAGTTTTACTAGAAAATTACAAGAAAAAAGTTGTATTTAATAAAATAAAAGCTTTGACAGAGCTATCAGAATCTGACTTGAGCAGCTCAGTTCACGTAGATCTTTCTTTGAATTAGATGCCGCTGTGTTAAAAGTATTTCGATTAAGTATTAAGAATCATCTGTAACATCAAAGTATAACTTCACAAGATGCTCAACATTCCCTCAAGTTAAACTTTAGTTGTTTTTGGTATGAATGCTCATAAAATTACTATTTTATTCTGGTATAATTTCCACTCCGTTGTTGTGCGACTGTATTCTTGTAATATTATGACTTTATTCTCTAATTAAAAAATAAAATCTTAGCCTGAGCCTCATATTCCATCATAGAGTTGATCTAAATTCAAAGTCCAAATAAATATAAGCTTCAAAACAAGATGGCGGCTCTGACATCACTCTGAATTATGGAATGAATTGGTGGGAAAAATACAGATTTTCCAAAAGTGAAATCTTAAAAAAACTAAAATTTGATTAATTGACCAAATTGATTTATTGCCCAGCCTTAAGGAAAACTTATTCTCTTTTTTTTTTTTCCTTTTTGTGTGAATTATTTTGTGAATCAGATTACTTTGGTTGCAGCTTGGAGTGAAGATGTTTAGAAACATCATTGTCTCTGTACTTTCTTAATTTACGTCTTTCAGATAAACATTGCAGATCACATGATGAATTTCTCCTGTGTTTCGCACGGCTCACCGCATCCCTTTGTGTCCTCAGATCTCTGGACCTGACCGGGCCGCTGCTCCTCGGTGGAGTCCCCAAACTTCCAGAGGACTTTCCCGTCCGGAACCAGCAGTTCGTGGGCTGCATGAAGAACCTGCGCATCGACAACCAGCACGTCGACATGGCCAGCTACATCGCAAACAACGGCACCCTGCCAGGTAAATCGGCCTTCTGCGGCGCAGCTTTATTCAGTTTGCCGGCTGAGCAGCCGAGTGTGGAAAACCTGCAGAGGAAATAACCGTAATGAGAACAGCTGGAAGGGAAATGATGGCCGTACCTGCTATGAATATTTGATGACCCGTCGACTCTGATCCTCTGATGAAATAATGAGCTGGGACACATCAAACGGATTATTCCTCTGCTTTCCCACACCTCCCAGGTTGCTCTGCCAAGAGACATTTCTGCAACAATAACCCGTGTGTGAACGGAGGGACGTGTGTGAACCTGTGGGGCTCCTTCAGCTGCGACTGCCTGCTTGGATTTGGAGGGCAGAACTGTGAGCGAGGTGAGCGAAGGAGGAAAAGCAATGCTGCAGTTTTATCTGGGAGAACGCTCCGGTTTACTTACAAAAACAAGTTCAGAAAACCTCTGTTTATAGTTTAATAACTTCCAGTCTTGAATTAACAACTCCACATCCATCAAACGTTTTCAGGGCTCGTATGGGTGCTTGAAATCCTTGCAAATGCTTGAATTGCAGCGTTTGCAAGGTTTGAAAAGTGATTGGTTTCTGTATAAAGTTATTGAAAGCTTGGTAATAAAGTGTAATGTTTAAAGCCTAAGTTTGGAAAGTGATATTTATAGCTGAGAACAGATATTTTCATACACTTAATAAAAAGACACTGAGATTTTTTTTTTATCATTGCCTGAAATTAAATCAGACTAAACGTTTCTTGTTTCAGCTCATTTAGAATTAACAAAACTATTTCTATTTGCTACATGCCAGAAAACTTAGTGAGAATTTTTATGAGATGTTTTGTGACTTTCTTTGTTTATTGTGTTTAATTTGAGCGGGAAAGTCAAATTAAATGGAGAACGAAGCTCTAGAAAGAAGCTGTACCAATATCAAATCTTACGAAGTCTAATTTCAAATATTTTAGTACAATTGAAAGAAGACAAAATTAACTCACACGTAACTTTTCAGCAAGACACAGAAGAGCTTTTTTTAAGTAATTAATCCCATAACATGATGAAAACGTTCTAGTTTTATTGGCAGATTAGTTCACTTTCAACATAGGAAAACACACTCCTGTCTTTCTGAAAAGCTAGTTTTGTCTTTTTTCAAGTGTCCTAAGTATCAAAAACTAGACAAAAATTACTCAGCAAGATTTTAGTGTTTTTTTTAAGTGCTGGGAAAATTGTAACCAAACATATTTCGATTGTTTACAATCATATTTCTCATTGATACAAATCTCTGCAGACACAAAACAAGCGATCCTGAGGCCAGCAGCCGGGCTGCTGGGAAATGTCCCGGTGCGCCCGACGCCTCAGGCTGGCAGTGATGATGCATCATCATCATCATCATCATGTCACCTAAAGAGAATCTCTCATTTTTCAGTCTCTGTGTGCCTTTCTTCATCCGGACTCCCTCTGTGTGTCGTTCCTGCAGTCATGGCCAACCCGCTGCGTTTCCAAGGCGATAGCCTGCTGCAGTGGAAAAACCTGGAGGCGTTGGCAGCCTCCGTCCTCTGGCACATCGAGCTCATGTTCCGCACCCGTCAGTCCAGCTCCCTGCTGCTCCACATCTCCTCAGGCCTGCAGCACAACCTCACGCTGCAGGTGAGATCCCACCTCCTTCTTTATTACAAAGGACGCTGGGAGAAAATCACTCTTCTCGGAAAAGAGGCTGTTCTTGTAATATTTTCAGCTGCCTTCCTGATTTCGTCTAGACGAGGGATTCTTTGATGTTGCTCTTTCTGTTCCCAGCAGTAAACTCTGAGGACGTGCAGCAGTTCAGAGTCTGAACTTTTGAACCCACAGATTGTCTTTGTATCTCCCTCCCTCTGTTTCGGTGCTGCGTAGCTGCGTGGGGGGAGCGTGCTGATGGGGCTGCACAGGGGGGAGGACTCCACTCTGTCGCGGGTGGAGGAGGTGCTGGTGAACGACGGGGACTGGCATCATCTGCAGCTGGACATCAGCAGCCTGGGCGGCGCCGCCAGCCGCCACCAGGCCGTGCTGTCGTTGGACCAGGGGCTCTACCTGGTGAGTGGGTGGACCGACACGTGAATGTGATGAAACATCGAGGGGTTTATGCTAATGCCGTCATGCTGCTTTCCAGGCCAGCATGGAGGTGGACGGAAAGCTGCGGGAGTCCAAGCTGAAGACTGTCAGCGTTGGTGGTTTGGCAAAGCCTGATGGGAAAATTCAGCACGGCTTCCGTGGCTGCATACAGGTTTGTCCTCTTCAAAGCTAATAAAGAGTCAAGATGTAGACAATAGACACACCCAACTAATTGTTTTAGTTATTGATTATTCTATCAATCATTTTGACGATTAATCTAATTTTAAAAATGGACACTCTGCAGATTTTTCATTTAACTGCTTAAGCTGGGAGTTATTGTTGTGAAAATAATACATTTTTCTAAAATTTTCCAGATGTTTTCAGTCAAAGAGAATTAGTGAAAGCTCATAGGATGACAGTCAAAGCCGACTTTTTAAACACATCAAGAAGGAAACATTTTTACTTGCTGCTGTTGCATTTCCTGATTCAAACTGCTTCGTGCTTCATAAAACTACGCAGCATAAGTACGGTGCCTCCCCTCCTCCAGGGCCTGCGTGTCGGTGGCGCCCTCAGCTTGTCCGTGGCGAGGAAGGTGAACGTGGAGCCGGGCTGCAGCGTGCCGGACCCCTGCAGCTCCAACCCCTGTCCTGCCAACAGCTTCTGCAGTGACGACTGGGACAGCTACTCCTGCACCTGCCTCAGCGGTCAGTCCCTGCACAGACTGCGGTCGCTTCGCCACTCCAGCGCGCAGCAGCTCATCGTCGTCGGCTGTATTTCTCTGCAGGTTACTATGGCACCAACTGCACTGAAGCGTGCTCGCTGAACCCCTGCGAACACGGCGCTGTGTGCTCCAGGAGGCCGAGCGCCGCCTGCGGCTACACCTGCGACTGTCCCAGGAACTATTTCGGCCGATACTGTGAGAAAAAGTACGTCTGGGTTCCTAATTAATGAAGCCATAATATTGACACTTTCCATATTTCCTCTTGTAATCCTGTTAATGACAAAAAAACACACTGGAGCCTTTTGTTATTTTTTATTTACTTCAAAAATAAAAACAATACAAAGATACAGGAGGAAGCCGACCTCCTCCTGTATCGCCACAACCCAAACCTCGTTAACTGTTTAATAATAAATTAAATATTCAAGTTTATTTGTAGAGGGCCTTAGTATTGTCTCTAATATTACAAATTCTTATGCATGAGAGTTTTCAACCTGTAAAATGTCATCCTGCACATATTTTCACTTGTTTTAGTCATTCTTACCCCAATAAACTGAAATTTATTCAGTTTATCAACTTAATTTGACCTGAATAAACTGAGTACAGCCGCCCATAATTAACAGCAGCTGTTGTTTTGGATCATTTAATTAGCAAACATTTAAAATGAACTGGCTGTGTTCTTCCACAGGACTGACTTGCCGTGTCCCAGAGGCTGGTGGGGTCATAAGACCTGTGGGCCCTGCAACTGCCCCACTGACCGAGGGTTTGACTCCGACTGCAACAAGACGAGCGGCGAGTGTCGCTGTAAGGTGAGTCTGAAGACCTGAATTATTCATCTCCACTCGTCGCTCTGACTCAGAACCCAAAGAGAAAACAGAGCTGTGTAGAGTAACATCTATAGAAACATGGCAAAGCAGAAGGAGCAATAATTATAAGGAGTTGATGATAATCAGTCCATGACTTTTTATAAAATAGAACAAAAATATCGTTTACTGTCCCACAGTGGGGAAATTTCTGAGCAACAGCAGAAACGTTACAGGAAATAACAGCAAATAAAACAAAGGATGCATCTGCAGACAAAAAACGCTTCAGTCCTTTCTGCTTAGCATCATCAATGCTGACTGATCTGCTGGTGGATTTTTGGATCAATCAATTGATAAGTGGATAGAAAAGTTGATACGCAGAGGACGGACGAAGATGTTCTTTGTTTGATTTGAGGGAAATTGAGAGTGAAGTATGTTTATTCATATTTCTTTTATTTAACTGATGGAGATAAAATGCGTTATTTATTTAAGTATTTTGTGTTTCACTTGGCACAGTTTATTTTGAAGGTTTGGCCCCTTAGAAAGAGGACACCTTTAAATAAAATGTTTGTTTTATTGGGCGTCTGTAACAGAGTGAATGACTCATATAAAAATAAAGACTAATTTTCTTTAAAGAATTTGATCCAAGTGAAGCTAAAACTGATACTAGAGAATATTTACAGGAAAACATGTTGGGTTTTTCCATCTCAAATACAAAATAATTCTTGCACAGTTTTAGTGTAACATCTGCTCTGAGGCTGCTGTTCTTTCAGGAAATGAAAGAACAGCATTTATAGAGTCTGCATGCTCAAGTTAATTATTAATTGATTAGTAAATTAGTTGATGATTATTTCAATAATCAATGCATCACTATTAATCGTTTCAGTCCTGAATGCAAACATCCACCTTCATAGTCTGAATACCCGTCAGGATCATTAGATCACGGAGCCAATCAGGATCAAACTGAGAGATCAAAGAGCCTCCTTTATAAATGTGTAGCAGCCTGAAAGCCTTATTTTGACCTGAAGAATAACAACAATGACGTCTCATAGGTTCTGTAAAGTGTTTTTATTCTCCAGTTTGACCCACCAGCAGCTCAGCTGTTGCACGTTTTCGCCTCTTGGCTTCACGTTTTTGCTGGCACAGAAAAGCGAAGGTGCCGTTCCTTAGCGACGTGTCTCTCCGTCTCCTCATCCAGGACAACCACTACCGTCCCGAGGGCAGCGACACCTGCCTGCTGTGCGACTGCTACCCAGTCGGCTCGTTCTCCAGGGCCTGCGACAGAGAGAGCGGCCAGTGCCAGTGCAAGCCCGGCGTCATCGGGCGCCAGTGTGATCGCTGTGACAACCCGTTCGCCGAGGTCTCTGCCAGCGGCTGTGAAGGTCTGAATGGAACAGCTCTATATTTCATAAAAGCTGCATAAATATTTAAAAATATCTCACATTTTCTCTCCTCCGTGCTCCTTCTCTCGCAGTAATCTATGACAGCTGCCCTCAGGCCATCGAGGCGGGGATATGGTGGCCCAGGACTAAGTTTGGTCTCCCTGCAGCCGTTCCCTGTCCCAGGGGAAGTGTTGGTATGATGGCTTTTTGGCACCTCATCGAATTATCATAAAATAATGGCAATACATGAACTCAGCCTGAAGGCTTCTCCTGGCTCAGCTCCACTGTGTCCGCGTTCCCAGGAACAGCAATCCGGCACTGTGACGAGCACAAGGGCTGGCTTCCTCCCAACCTCTTCAACTGCACCTCCGTCACCTTCAGCAAGCTCAAAGCCTTGGTGAGTAGCTCCTCCCAACAGAACAACACCCAATCCTACCTCAGAACCTGATGGAGACGTGAAATGATTACATCAATAAACAGATGTAATCAATAAAAGCCAAAGTAGAAAGACATAAAGGTGACCTGTTAGGATAGATCTATGAGCAATACAAAACATTTCTTGCATAAAAATTATTCTTAGGTTATTAGATTTCAGTCTGACCAGTTCTTCCTTTTCAGAATAAAACGTTTCAGGGCTTTTTGTCACATTAAATCAAAATAAGCTGCTGGTCACACCGTCCAACTCAGTGTTTACACTCGCACATGAAAATGGCTGAAAACTAGAGCTTCAAAATAAAATGTCCTATTTTTTTTAATACCAAATTCAGTTTCTGATTTTCATCAAGTTTTTTCCCCTTAAGTTACAAATTGCAGAAAAAGTCTTGGCT